CCGTGTGAAACAAGGTTGCCAGCTGTCATTTTTCCTCATTAACATGGCCATTGATGAAGTCATATGGACGGCGTTCACCGGGCACGACTTAGAAGGTGTGGAGCTGCACCCAAGTGAGCGACCTCTTGGCTTAGAGTATACCGACGACATCGCACTCTTCTGTGAGAGCTCCCGAACGTGTCAAGCTGTATTGGATAAATTAGCTCTGGCTGTCAGTCATTTCGGGCTATGCTTTGCACCGTCAAAATTAAAGTCCTCCAGGATTGGCAGGGACTTATTCATGCGCTGACCCTTGGCGGTGATCACCTAAATGTCGTCGGGCAATTTCAATATCTGGCCAGCCGTATTAGCGCCCGTGGGATTGAAGGTGAGGTCATGAACCGCATAACGAAAGGTCAGCGTGCTGTTGCCAATCTCCGTCACCTGTGGTGCCAGCGTAACATCACTCTCGCTCCGAAGAGCGGAGTTTACAATGCAGCCGTCCGTTCAACCCTCCTGCGCGGTTGCGAAACCTGTGTCATTAGATCAACCAACATGCAGAGGCTAGTTACGTTAGATCATTGCTGCCTTCGAAGCTTAGCTCATATCTGGTGGATAATACCGTGTGATCAATGAGCGTGTTCGGCGTCGCGTATTTGGTAGAGGGACAATGGATTCATCACGGAGATAAAAGCAAACGCTCAACAGTTTTCCGTAGAGTAAGAGTGAGATCACTGATGGATGTATCAAAGATATGCGTGTTGCCGTTGACTTACCGCGAATTTCAACTATGCACATTGTTTGCTTACGTTGTTGCGTGTCCCAGTAACTGGGGTTAAATCATCTAATGCGGGTGGTGTAATGTATCATCAAGTCGAGTTTTGACTTTGGACAATGTGGGAACGGATGTGACAAATTGCGGTAGGAAGTCCCACAGCTGATATATGTGCAACGCAAAAGTTCCGGCAGTATTCCAACCGGGTATACTGTGTCATCAAATTCAAATGGTGACCTCTCAGTGAGATGTTGTGGCTGTTTCAATAAGAGTCGGCGTGGGTAGTTAGAGTTCTTGAGAATCTGGTACACAAATATGAGATCACCTCGCGGAAGGCGACATTGTTCATTAAACCTCCTAGAGTCTTTAGTCTCATCTGGTAAGGGAGGTGCAGCAATCCCTTCACATTTTTCTCGCCTTCCGCTATGGCTTCTTAAGAGCAGTGAGGCCACCTTTTTGCCAGGGACGCCAAGATTGGATGGTGTATTCAAGGTGTGGTCTCACGCGGCATTGAACATTTGCGAATAGCAAGTGGGATCGAACCGGCCAATCTCCTTCCGCATAGGCCCAACTGTTGGCTGACTTTTTTCACTGCCATCTCAGCCTGCTTTAAGCATCCGAGATCGTCCTGAACTGGCACCGCAAGATCCCTTTCATGAGAAGCGTACTGCAGTATATGTTCTCCTAATCAATGTTGACAGATTCTCTGGTGGCATGTGCTCATTATGTTGCACTTGGTAGGGTTAAACTCAAGTATGTCCTCGGTCGATCACTCGTAAGCCCTGTCGAGATTACCTTGCAGAGCTATTTGGTCGTCTACTCGGTTGATTGCCCGCATGCCGACTCGGAACGAATATACTACAGCATTCAACTCTCGAACGTGACTTGGATGTCCTGGTTCAAGATGACTTGGGTAGCTCCAGACAATCCGAAAAGGCCTCGAAGACCGGGAACCAACACGTCGGGCTGTTGAGGCGGGCGTTTGGACAAATAAACAGCTCCATATTTCGACAAATGCTCAGTGCGTATGTTCGCCCCCATGTGGAATACGCAATTCAAGCCTGTCATTCATGGCTGAAACACGACCTTAATGCACTGGAGCAGCCACAACGCCGGGCATCTAAGAACGTAACTGGAATACGCAATCTTTCCTACCAGGAGAGGCTGCGATGACTGGGATTGTTCAGTGGAAGCTATCGCAGACTACGAGGCGACCTGATATTGGCATACTTGATTCTGCGAGACCCACACCATGTGTGCCGCCCTTTACTGCAACTCAGCAGCAATACAAACCTGAGGGGCCACTCATTAAAACTCGCAGAACAATACAATCGTCTGGAGTGCCGCAGAAATTTCTTTTCCATTCGTGTCTGTCACCCGTGGAATGCTCTCCAAGAATCGGTCGTCTCTGCACCGACACGAACAGTATTTAAAAGACGGTTGGACGAAGCACTCATCCACTTACACTTTGTCACTTAACACTACGTCTCCATCCTACATCTGGAGTTTACCATGGAATTATGTGTTGTTAACTGTGGGTGCTGTGAATCTAAGAAGATTGCAGGACTGCGGGGAAGCAAACGATAAGTCCTTATTTTCATATTTAAAGTATTAACTATTTTACTATCCTTATCATCATTATTGTTACGTTGATATCCCCACCAACTATCCAACGGGACTTGTAAAGCAACGCTTCTTAATCCGTATAAATTCATTGTTCATTGTTCAAGATCTTGAGGTAGTCCGCAAAGTGTTCACGCTTCGATGTCAACACTCCCGCGAGGTCGTTTATGAACACGAGGAATAACCGTGCTCCTAGTACTTAGCCTTGAGGGACGCCACAGTGAACCTCTGTGGGGTCGGACAGGGTGCTACGAACCCCAACATTCAAGCATGGTCGAAGTAAGAAAGAACAAACTTAGCCCGGGATGAGTTCAACCATGCCATATCTCCGAGGTTTTTGAAGGAGTAACGGCTGATCAAGGTGATCGAATGCCTACGGAAAGTCAGCGGGCGGCGTCGACTTCTCCAGCTTCTACGTTGCCTTCATTTGGCACGAGCTAACAAAAGGTTCGTGGTACATGAGCGGTTTTGGCGGAATATATGATGCTCTTGCATGATGGTATGCCACCTTACTAAATATCCCATAAGTGCATCTGCAGCAACAGATTCCATGACTTTAGCAAGTACAGGAAGAAGAGTATTCAGGCTGTAGTTTGCTGACCCTGCATGATTGCCTCCTTTGTAAATTGGAGGGACTACTTCACGTTTCCACATTGTTGTAATTTGCATCTCGTCCAGACAGCGCTGGTAAAACTGAGATAATGGTTTAGCCAAGCTCGTGGCAGTTACTATCAGTGACTTGAGACGTATGCTATCTGGACCAGGTCAACTATACTCGCATAGTGACAGTAGTCCTTTCAGCACATCCGCGGCTGTGAAGATGTGATTAAGACCTAATGATGATTTGACATGTGTGAGAATGGCATGGGACGGCGATGCGTGCAGGAAAATGCAAGTGAACTGGTGTCTAAGAGCATTAGCTGCCTCTTGGGCAGTTCGCGCTTGCCCACAGACGGTGTTTGGAGGAGGGATGCTACGCTGTATTTTGCGAAGTTTGCTGATATGCCTGTAAAGTAAGTTAGGATTGCAGCGGAACTTTTTCTCCAGATTCTGTTGGTGTTTCAATTTATCTTCCTGCGCCAGTTTAACACTGTTTTCGCTCAGTTATATAAAAGCATGCAGGTTTCTGGCGTTTGGATCGGATTTGTATGCTTCCCAAAGTGGACCTCTCAGAGCCATTCGTTTCCACGTCCTGCTCCTCAGGAAGGACTACGCCTTTTTTGAGCTAACGGTCTTAGCCCCTAACGCGTTTGTTACTAAGTTGTTGAATTTACTGACGAATTTTCTCCAAGCGACGTCAGAGGTTGTTCCGCTAGAAACGACCAATCAGTGATCTTAATTAGGTAGGATGAAATGTTGTGGTGTGTTATTTTGCGAACCTATTCGATTTCCTTCTCAGACTGTTCATCGTAGCAGACCCAGTGGGAATGCAGCGTTGCATGATCACTGTGCCCCAGGAGGCTACTCACTGTCACTGTGTCGACCATAAATTCCTCATCGGTGAACACGAGGTCGGAAATGGCCAGTTTATCCCTCGTTCTGGATCTCGTGGGGGAAGTGACGTGGTTATGCAGTGATAGATCGGCGATTAATTTTTGTAGTTTGGCTTTAAACTGTTCGAAATACATGATCTTTTGGGACACTAAGGTAAGTGTGGTGCAAACGACCATAATGGAACATGTAAGGGGATCGCTGGGAAGAACGTTTTCACTGGTGTGACAGCGCAGATGTTGGTTATACAGGGTAAGGTCAAAATATTAAACTCAACTTGGCTGGGTATTTCGCCCTTTATACTTGGTTTCGAATACTCGACGGTACAGAAATTGCTGCCACCTGTCACATGCCGCTTCGGGCGGACCGCCCCCCCCCCATGCTACGCTCTGCGTTGATTGGTTGCAATTCGGCCCTCCTGTTCCCTCATCCTTCGCGTGTTAGCCACGTGACACATCCACTGTGCCGCATTCCTTTCGGTGCGCGCGGACGTCTCACTATTGCGTGTCCAGTGAGTAAATCTCACCCCTCCTAAACGAACTGTGTGGAGAACGTCTCACGTAGCGTCTCTTTTCCTGTTCCCCTTTGCTGCATCTGTCGTCACACACTGTTTTTAATCCGAATACCACTGGGCCATAGTGAATATTATTGGGTCGTCATTTAGTTGCTTCACTGGTTCCGTCGACTTTCACTTACCTAACACGTACCTTCCAGCCATCAGCCCCTATGCACTCCGTATGCACGACTTCTCGCGTGCATTACAGTGAGGACCACAAATTTCCTTCAGGTTTATGTGCTCATATCAATTGTTTTCGCTTGAATTGGTGGCTAACCGCCTGATGGATGCCGTCTTGGGTTTACTTTACCATCCTTCATGTCAGTTGAGATTCGTCCAGTCAATGACACGTCTCGCTACTATAAGGGGCCTCTTCATAGGCTAGCTTCCGTACATTATCATTCATTACGCCGAACTTATGTGCTTTCGGGGAGAGTCTTCTAATATATGATGATATTTTCAAGGCTTCTGCTCAGGTATCACCCACCAGACACACCATACTTTCATGCTGCGTTCTAACTGAGACTGGCGACTATGTTTAACTGTGCTCGATATTGCATTCGCTATTAATTAGCAATGCCGGCGATAGATCGCGTCAACATTGGAATGCGCCCAACTGCTATGCCTTGCGAACCAAACCCACTCTCCTTACATCACATTCCCACCATGTGTCCTTCATTGCAGCGTCCAGTGTCTGTCGTTACACATTCACCTAGCCCCTCCCTTAGCCCCGTTTTACCTCGGCCGTTATCTTCGGCTAGATTTGACAAACCACAGCTTTCATTCGGCGGGCTACTTTTTACAGCCATAGCCTTACGGTTCTATGCCACGTACACCGGCGGCCGCGTTCCGGAGGCCTACAGTGAGATGGCGATTGCCACTTACACAAATCGTCCTCCGACACAGTGTTTGCATCCACTTTCGCGGATGCACAAAACTCCTACAATTTCTCATTACATATTAACCTCAGAACTGCCTGTATCTAGAAGAGTATCCTGCTACTATTATCACTCACGTCAGCGGTATCACTACTACAGTTAAACCTTTCTAAGGCAACCACTCAAGGGACCGACAAAAAGTGGTCGCCTTGGAAAAATGCTCACTATAGACAGGTTCATGCATAGGAGCATTGCTCAGAGGAGAAAACGTTGGGGATGTTTTTGGCTGGTCGACATTGACAGGTTGGACTGTAACTTACTACATCTTGGGCGTACTTGCCGATATTCTCTGGACACTGTGCCATTTTGCTTGTCAGGAATTATCTTGACGTAAAAGCTGGTTTATCATTTGCCATCGGACGGTGCAATCTTAACATATTATTCATATCAATATTTTTCCCCAAACAAAGGGGGATCTTTCACCTCTGCGATTTCACTTCGCTCAGCCCTCTTTCAGTGATATCGAAAACTCCCTCTGACTCTCTTACAGCGGCTGATGATAACGGTCTCTACATCCCAGCTTGACTAAGATATCATCCCTTTTGGTGGTTTGTATTCATATGGGACATTAATTACTGTGTCCCTGTTCTTCATAATACTACCTGGCAAAATCGTTCTTGGAGCCCTTATATCGAGCATATTCTTTTTTCTTCGCATAAATGAAAAGAAGAAGGCAAAGTCGTGTGCATGTGCGTGCTAAGCGTGCAATCCTGTGCTTTGTATTAAATTGGACTTATCCTCTCGCAGTATTGTGCCACCTCTTTGGAACTACGCTCAGTCGATTCGGATCACCGAGCTCTATCCAAGGGGGTCTATATTTTTGAAGTAAATCCAACGACGCGCTGGTACACCACAAACAAAATCTTCGGAAGTCTATTCACTAAGGCCAATGTGTGCAACTTTGCTTATTTGAGTTTCATCAGTACCTTTGGGATACCATTCTACAGAGCTTCTTTAAGGCTGTCAGACAATATAAAACATTACTGTGCACCAGTGTATACCATAGCTACAAGCTTTTTTGTCATCTCACGTTACCATCATATTTTTTCCACGCTGGTGCCATCCGACATCAGCAGTGCTTTGCAACCAACGATAATCAGATACTTGAAGGCGCCACAGGTTGGAGGAACCAAGTCTCGCTCCCATAGACTGGGACGGCCCTCACTGTGGCCCTGTAAACACGGCCTTCTAGACGGAGGGAAACTCTTTTGTCGCCAGAGATGTCGAGGATTCAAGAAAGCAGTTCTGGCTTTTGTAATGCGTGAACTGACTTCAGTGCTTATACGCCCATCGTTGCTTATGCAGCTCCCAAGGTAAGTGAAGGAATCAACTACTTCGAGTTCCTCGCCATCAAGGAGTCATCAAACGGCTGGTGGTCCTGTAACAGCACTATGAAGGAGCGAGGCGTATGCCAAATGATGGAACCACTCTAGAGACCATTCAGAGTTGATTGGGCCGCCCCAACCTCGTTACAAAACAGGACAATATCGTCCGCGTAATCAAGATCAAACAGCATTTCACTACGCTGCACTTCAGCGTCTGCATCGTGAGGTTCCGAAATGGAACACTCCATGATACAGTACACGGCGAAGTTGAACAAAAAGGAGGAAATTAGACAACCCTGACGAACGCCACTTATTGTCGGAAAGGCGTCTGACAAATCACCGTAGACCCAGACGCGGTCTTTGGGGTTCGAGTAGATGGCACATAAAAGTTCATGCATTTCATGGGAACACCATTACACACAAGTATTTCCAGCAGAATTCATCGGTCGATGGAGTCTTACGCACTCTTGGAGTCGGGTTCTGTCGTCACTGGACTATAGAATCAAGCTCACCCGTGTGTATTTTCTGGACTACAGCGTAAACCGTAACTTGTGAGATATGCTCGGTGCTGGTATACATCCTTCCAACTTCTTTGAGGGATTGTTTTGCCGGTCGTACTCAGGTTATCCGATTTGGAGGCAGAAGCTCCCCGTACCTTATCACAGCCACCGATGTTCTTCAGGGAGCTATATTGCCACTATCTCTATTTTCCACTTATGTTATTTTAATACCAGCTCCTGAGAACGCGAACTTGCCGAAGTGCGCCGATTACAATGTTCTAGGCGCCAATCAATCAACCATTGCTTCTTCACTCAGGTTACAAGCTATTCTTAACAATCTCACGCTTTGGTCGAAACCTCGCATGTTGTCGCTTAAGGTGTCAAGGTGCTGTTATGTCACTTTTTCACTTCTCAAGGAGTGCCGGAATTCCACATCGATGGCGGGGATTAAACTCCTCCGTATCAGTGAGGTACCTGGGTATCCCGCTCAACTACACTTTATCTCGGTCACATCATATGAACGAAGCGTATACAAACGTCAGGAGATTGTCGTTCACTGTTTCTCATCTGCGGTCTTCTTATGCCTCCATGATTTGCTACTTCGTTTTGTCACTGCCTGTGTTCGTCCAAACTTAATCCAAACTGATCGAGTTACTCTGGGTTCGCAATCAAGAGGGTTTCCACTAGCACCCGCTGTTGTATTCTCCTGACCACAATGTGGTCTAAACATCGTCCACTCGCCTTACTCCTCATTTCAGATGGTGAATAATTCCCGTGAAAAGTCAGCTTGTTTTCGGTGATTCCTCATCAGGCCAAGTAGAAAACATTTAAATAGCTCTCATAGAACAGATTAAAACACGTATTATGATTGGAGTAGGAGCTAGATGTGACTGCCATGCTTCGACTGGTTCACACAATTGTGTATGCGACAGCTGGCCAGAGTCCTCACATATTGTTTGTGCACACTTAGAGGAAGATGGTGAAGACGGATGGCGATTGCCTCTGCCATTGCAAGTATGCGGCATCTGATCACTTTGGATCGGACTCCCGCCACAAGATAGATCGGGTGGAAGGCACTTGTGATAACAACCGAGCGATTCGTATCGGCCAGATGTGCGGCAGTCGCAGTGTTGCAAGTTTTATTTACTTCCCGACCCAACCTCGTTGGGTGATGCTTTCGGGCCCGGTCAGCTAAACGTCTTGTGGTGCGGCCTACGTATCTTGTTCTATAGGTACAAGTAAATTGATACGCACAAAAGGAAGTGGCATCCACAGACGGTTTATCCTTCAGTGATAGAGTTAACACAGGTGTGGAAGTGAACATGATTCGTAGCTGCCTTGCAAAATAGGTGTACTTGATAGCAGTTCTGAGTTTTCTGCTAATAATCGTGGCTGTATTATCCTCAGTGGTGCCCCATGCTTAGGCTGATGATGCACTCATAATGCTTATTCACCGCAGTTGAGTTAAAATAACGCACTTAAACTTGGTCTTTTTAAGCTGGATAAATTTCATTCCACTTTATTTGGTTTTTCTGCCTACCTGAACAATTTTCTATTATCCTGCACTTGTTGCTTATGCTTATTATGGTTATCTACATTAACTTTATCCCATTTATGGCTTTTTTGAATGACTTCTGAACATTTGGTAACCATCGCGGATTCTTTGCTAACCAACTTACTTCATATGCTAATTTAGCGAAGAGTTATGTCGGCGTAACCGGATGCTATAGCAGATATATTTTATTTGATTATCAAGTGATTGGTTGTTGTTTGACATCCCCAGTGTGGCTGCGCTTCATTTGCATGTTGACAAGGTGCCTACCTGTCTGTTATCCACCACCTCCTTTATACTGGCTCCATGAGACAGTTGGTCGTTGCTGGAGGGGACCGGGTGCACGGTCCTTGTGGCCGTGCTAGGCTCAAAGAGCGGTTCCATGCACTCAATGTGGAGCGGACTACGATCTAGCCACCGCCTTGTGTACGTTTGATTCCCTAAATACAGCGTGCTTGAGTTTGCCTGGGAAGGAGTGTGGGCCGGCTCCGTTGATGAAACCTGGTTCCTATCCGCCTACTTCCTGGTCTTATTCCTGCGGATTTACACTGGATATGGGGTGTGTAGTTGGAGCTGTGGGTGATGCAGCGCAAGCCACCCATGGTCTCTCAATAGGCGCAGGCGTCCTGTGGCTGGCCACATTGACAGGTAAATCCCAAACCGGATGCCGCCAACCATTATCCCCAGTGAAATTCAAAATTAGAAACAAGTTTTCTTTTCTACTATAGGTATTTTAACACTTCGCGGCTCAGACAGCATGTTTCTGTCAATGAATGTCTCGAGGTAGCCATTGGTAAGAAATGACTCCTTTATTCTTACACGCTCCTGTGCGATGGTATTTTCCGAACACTTTTTGATTGTTCTTTGTGCAAGGCACCGGATTAGTTTGTGCTTCTGTTGTTGTGACACGAAACTGTCAAAGTGAGTATACTGACTAGTCCATGTTGTTCCCCTATAATTTTACATTGAAATGTTCCGTCTGGTCGGCTCGATAGTTGTACGTCTAGGAAGGCTATGCGCTGGAAACGCGTTGTGGCTGTCTGTACACATGTCGCTCGATAACCAAAATGGGCGAATATGGCCTGTCGATCTGTCCTTCACCAGCTTATGCTCGCACTTAGCTGATTCCTGCACTAAACCACTCGTCTGCCGAGAATTCCATATGTCCTCACCACTAAGGTGAGAGAGAAATTCATGTTTCTGCACGCGCGCACCACAGGCAGTACGCATTTTGCAAAATTCGCTAAACATTGGATGGCTATTGGATGGTGGGGACAACAACCGTAAATGACCGGCATTCACCATAAGCGAGCCACGGTAGGTCCATGAACCGCGCTTCCCATTCTGGAACGCGATCATCGGCATTTTTGCGCCAGTCTAACTGTACATTCTTCCGACTCCGATTGGATGCTGAAGTTTATTCAGTTGTTGTGGAGTTCTCCGAGCTGGGCAACGATTGCAAACGTTTCGCCACCATTCGAGGTGGTATCTTCAGTGCAGGATTGGTAGCAGTCAGGTAGAAGTAGCTGGCAGAAAGCAAACCCAATAAAGTGGTAATCGCTCAGTCATTTCCTTTAGAGAGCACATTTCCAATTTAGCCATGAAAACGTGGCCAACAGGGGACCCAGATATAACCCATTGCTAGGCTATCTTTTTGTCTACATAAATGTCCAGTGAAACGGAACTGAACATTGTGAGTGCGTTAGTAAAGCAACCTCTTTAGATC